TTCTGTCTCGGGCCGAGTCTCTTACTTCGTCGAGGAAATCGAGAGATTCCTTCATCAGTCGCTCATTCTCAGCCGAGAAGTGGTGCACTCGTAAACTCTCAGAGCCGATTTCCACTGGAAGAACGGCTTCGGCACCATACACCAGTTCAAAAGGTGAATAGCCCGTTGCCTTTTTTCAGTTGTCCGAAGGGACCAAAGGGTTCCAGGGAGCTCCTCCAGCCACTTGGACTTTTGATCTTCCACCCTCTTTTTGAGGGCATTTAGGATCTGTTTATTTGCAGCTTCAGCTTGTCCGTTACTTTGCGGGTGGCATACCGCTGAATATGCCAGTTTGATGCCGAACTGATCTGTATACCGCTTCAGCGGTAAGTTATCGAATTGCCTCCCATGATCGAAGACAAATACTCTCGGCATGCCGAAACGAGAGATGATATTCTGCCAGATAAATTTTCTGACAGTTTGCTCTGTAATGTTCGAGGCTGCTTCGGCCTCGATCCACTTACTGAAGTAGTCAACACCAACTATCAGCCATTTTTTTTGGTACACACCATCTGGAAATGGTCCTAGTATATCCAGTCCCCATTGGGCAAACGGGAGTGGATTAAGGATCGACTGAAGATCCCTTGCTGGCTGGTGGATAACTGGTGCGTATTTTTGACATTTTTCGCATTTCCGGACCAGCTCCTTAGCATCTGCGATCATGGTGGGCCAGTAATATCCGGCCCTCAATGCCTTGTGGGCTAAGGTCCTTCCCCCGATGTGGTTCCCGCAGATGCCGAGGTGAATCTCCCGTAGGATATAATCTGCATCTGTTGGTCCCACGCATTTCAGCAATGGGGCTGAGAAGGACTTTTTCAGAAGCTCCCCCCTGAAGACAATGAACCTTGAGCTGGTTCTCTTCATCTTGGAGGCCAAAATTCTATCTTCGGGAATCTCTCCCCGAAGCTTGAAAGCTAGGATGGGGTCCATCCAGCTAGGCTCTGGGTTAGCGCAGCACACTTCAGGTGCTTCGTTGACACTTCTTTCTCGACGCACTTCCACATATACAGATCTGTTCATCTCAGTGGGAGTTGAACTGGCAAGTTTGGAGAGTGCATCGGCTTGAGTATTCTGACCCCTTGGGATCAGCTGAACCTCAAAAGTTCTCAGCTTTGCAATGACTGATTTGATCTTGGCAAGATAGGCTATCATGGAGGGCTCTTTGGCCTCGTAGCTGCCACTGATCTGATATGCAACTAGCTGAGAGTCTGTTTTCAGGCAGACATGCTCGGCTTCCAGGGAGATGCACAATTCTAAGCCAGCGATTGCTGCCTCATATTCAGCTTCGTTGTTCGAAGCCTTAAAAGAAAATTTTAGTGCATACTCAAAGGATTTGCCTTCGGGAGAGGTTATCACTACCCCTGCCCCCGAACCATTTTCGGTGGAGGATCCATCCGTAAACACGGTCCAGACTTTCTTTTCATTGTCTAGCGCCTCCTGGTACGAGCATTCGGCCAAGAAATCCGCTAGAGCTTGAGCCTTGATGGCAGCCCTCGGATGGTAGCTGATGCTGAATTCGGTGAGCTCAAAAGCCCACTTGGCCAGCCTACCAGATTTTTCAACTTTGCCGAGAACTTTTTCAAGCGGCTGATCAGTTAAGACCACTATCTGATGGCAATCAAAATAGGGCCTCAGCTTCCGAGCAGCTACCACTACCGCAAAAGCGACTTTCTCGAGTAGAGGGTAGCGAGTCTCGGCATCCGTCAGAGTGTGACTGACGAAATAGATCGGTTGCTGAATTTTGCTTTCTTCCTTCAGCAGCACTGCACTGATGGTGGCTGGGCTAACGGCCACATACAGATACAAAGTTTCTCCTTCTGCTGGGCTAGCCAGCGTTGGGAGTTGAGCCAGATGCTCCCGAAGCTGCTTAAAGGCTTCTTTTTGCTCCTTCTCCCAAACGAGCTCTTTTGTTTTCGGGAGTTTCAGGGCTTTGAAGAAAGGTAACCCCTTATCCGAAGCTATGGAAATGAACCTCGAGAGAGCTGCCATTCTTCCGGTGAGCCGCTGAACATCCCGCTTTGTTTTTGGCTCAGGAAGGTCGAGCGCTGCTTTGACTTTGGAGGGATTGGCATCAATCCCCCTCTTGCTGACTATGAACCCAAGGAATTTCCCTGACTTCACGCCGAAGACACACTTCTTCGGATTCAGCTTCATTTGATGCTTTCTTAAGGTGGCGAAGGTTTCAGCCAGGTCTTTAACATGGTCCTCAGATTTTTTGCTTTTGACGATCGAATCGTCGACATAGACTTCCATGTTTCGGCCCTTTTGATCGGCAAAAACTTGATCCACCAGCCTTTGATAGGTTGCCCCCGCATTTTTCAATCCGAAGGGCATCATTTTATAATTGTACACCCCGACGTTCGTGACGAATGCCGTCTTTGCTCGATCGTCGGGGTGCATGAAGATCTGATGATACCCCGAGAATGTGTCCATGAAACTAAGCAAGGCATGGCCACTTGTCGAATCGACTAGCTGATCGATCCTCGGCAAGGGATAGAAATCCTTCGGACAAGCCTTATTTAGGTCCGTGAAGTCAACGCACATCCTCTAGGTACCATTGGCCTTCTGAACCATCACCACATTTGCCAGCCATTCTGGATATTGACAAGGCTCGATGAAGCCTGCCTCCAGCAACTTTTTGACCTCGGCTGCGATGTCTCGGTTCTTATTAGCGGAGTAATTCCGCTTCTTTTGCTTAATTGGTCGACACGTTTAGGGGTGTACACCGGTCCAAAACCGGACCGGACCTGGACCGGACCTGTTTGGACCGGGGACCTAAATTGGGTAATTATGAGGACCAGGGACCGGACCTGAATTAACAGGTCCGGTTCCGGGCCAGACCTGAAAAATCAGGTCCGGTCCGGGTTTGGACCTGAATGGACCTGTTTTGTGTCTTTTTCGTTTTTTCTTTTTATTTTTTAATACAAAACCTGTTGGACCTGCATATGGACCTGCATATGGACCTGTTTTGTGATTTTTAGACCTGTTGCATAATTTAATAATTACATACAAACCAAAATTATCAATTACAAAACTACATAAAGTCTATAAAGTCCCGATTCTCAAACACCAAAAATACAAATGAGTCCACCGAAAATACAAATAAGTCCACGAAAACTCAGTTTCAATTTTTCAGAGTTTGGTTTTCTTCTTTTTTTTTTTTTTAATTACGATTTTCCCGGGTTTCAGGTCCGGACCTGAAAACCCCGGGTTTGGACCGGGTCCGGACCGGGACCGGGAACCTGGATTTTTAAGAACCGAGACCGGACCTGAATCAACAGGTCCGGGTCAGGTCCGGTCCGGTTCAGGTCGGTTCAGGTCCGGTTTCAGGTCCGGGCCAATTTTTGTACACCCCTAGACACGTTGGGTCAACATTAAGCTTATGGGAGATGAGGTCTGGACTTATCCCGGGCATATCAGCTGCCGAGAAAGCAAACACATCTCTGTTGTCCCAAAGGAGCTGAATAAGTTCACAACGGGTGTTCGGATCAAGGTCCATCCCGATTGTTACATATTTCTCAGCGTCTCCTTCGGCCAACTCAACTGTTTCAGTCTGTTGGTCCATGTCCATTGCTGATGGATTGGACTCTTCACTATCTGGCCTGCTGCCTATGTCAGCAGGTGTCCCAGTCTTTTTGTTCTTCGGCTGGCTTTCTGAGTCTTTCGGCTCAGCTGAAGAGCTAGCCTTTTCCCTTTCTAGCCCTTTTTCTCTGGGCACAGATCCTTAGGCCGAAGCACTTAGGCCTTTCGGATTTTTTGTGCTTGGCTCTCTTTCTTTTTCTTTCTCCACCTCATCCTTGTCGTCATCTGGGCGACTAGTGGATGGCTTGAGGTAGTTGCACCTTCGGGCGTCCTTTTGGCTGCCCTGTATCCTTTTGGGGAAGCCGGCGTCTGAGACGTAAATCATCAGCTGATGATAAGTTGAGACGACCCCTTGGATCTCATGAATTATGGGTCTCCCCAAAATCACGTTGTACACTAAAGGAGCGTCAATGACCAAAAATTCAGTCATGACATTCCTGGCTGCCTCATCGCAGCCGATGGTGACCAGAAGTGTCACCTTCCCATCTGGATAAGTTGAAGCCCCGTTGAATCCGGATACCGGGTAGGGTACCGGCGTAAGGTGCTTGGGCTTCAGCTTGATTCGATTGTAGGCCTTTCGGAACAGAATGTTTGCTCCGCTGCCACCGTCAACAAGGACCTTGCTGACGTCGTGGTTGGCCACCGTGGCGATGATCACCAACGGATCCTCGTGAGGGAACGTTACCCCCCGGCAGTCGGCGGCTGTGAACGTCATGTTCGGCACCGGCGACTGGGGAGCATATTCCTCCCGAGATAACATTGATCGGAGAGAATTTTCCCTCCGCCTTTTTACTGTTCTTCCGGGGGAAGTCGAGGTCTTGCCGAGGGTCCTTTGCTGACTTCTCGGCCTCCTTTTTCTCGCGGTGATCCGCGATGTATTTTTTCAAGTATCCCTTCCAGACCATGTCCTCTATCTGTTCCTTCAGTTGGATACACTCCTCAGTGTTATGTCCCGGAGATTCGTGGAACTCGCACCACTGATTTTTATTTTTTCGCTGATACCACTCTGGGAGTGGTCTCGGCTAGGGGTGTACACCGATCCAAAACCGGACCGGACCTGGACCGGACCTGTTTGGACCGGGGACCTGAATTGGGTAATTATGAGGACCGGGGACCGGACCTGAATTAACAGGTCCGGTTCCGGGCTAGACCTGAAAAATCAGGTCCGGTCCAGGTTTGGACCTGAATGGACCTGTTTTGTGATTTTTTTCGTTTTTTTTTATTTTTTTTAATAAAAAACTTGTTGGACCTGCATATGGACCTGCGTATGGACCTGTTTTGTGATTTTTAGACCTGTTGCATAATTAAATAATTACATACAAACCAAAATTATTAATCACAAAAGTACAAAACTACATAAAGTCTATAAAAGTATAAAGTCTCAATTCTCAAACACCAAAAATACCAAAAAAAAAACATAAATTCGATATGAAGTACTTTTGGCTATCTGAAACACAGGAAACACTCTCTTATTATCCTTCATGTTGCGCCTATAACACTCTGCCATCTTGGAAGCCCTTTTCTTTTCTCCAGGTTTAAGATCCCGCCTATTCGATATGAAGTACTTTTGGCTTTGAGGAAATTTTCCTGCATCATGGCCATCAAATTATAATACAGTAATACATATATGAATTCAAATTATAGACAAACTCTAATGAGGAATGACTAGTTTGTATTACCTTCACTTGAGCTTCCTCTTCTCTCCCTCTTTTCTTCCGTTATTACATGACTTACATCCTCAGTCTCTTCTTCGTCTTCCTTCCACAAAGAATAATCCTCTGATGATGAGTCACAAATCTCAATTTCTTCTTTAGCCACACTACCATGGTTGATGTGGAGATTACTTGTACAAGAGAATCTTCTTGAGATTGAATTGGAATTAATGGAAAAGTGACAACCCTCTTTCTCCCAACCACTCTTGTCAAACACTGACACCTCAAACGAGGAGTCTCCAACAAAACGGAACACTAAGAAGTCATTTGTTTCCACTCCATTGTCACGAACAAACTGTTTCCATCCATCTGTAAACACCAATGGCCTTTCATCATATGTACTCGAGAGTCTGATTTTCCATTTGTGTTTACTTGGCGCTATAAGTGTACACCACGGGGAGAGTTTCTCCTTGAAACACTCCATGAACTTCTGAGGAATATTCTGCAAGAAATGTTCACCAAAAAATTCAATCAAGTGAGCTAATATATATTAATAATATAAGTGCAGTTGCTTTCATAACATATTTTCCTACCATTTGGTGCTCAAAATCGCCATACATGACCTTGAAGAATTGGTGTTTTGTTGCAGGAAGTTCAGACCAATAATTATAATTCTCCGCAATTTTACAGCCTTCGCATTTCTTCCCCATAACTGCAGTGATAAATTTAGGTGACACCGAACATAGAAATAACATAGAAAATCAGACATTATTCATGTTCCCATATTATATGTCAGAATTTACTCAAACTCCTGAAGAATTGGTGCTAAATTGTAAGGAATTCAGACCAATATTTATAGATCTGCTATTTCTCAACCAGTGCATTTTTCTGCAATGATAAGTTTATGCAACAACGCTTATATAATGACTAATAACATAGAATTTATGCATCCGAATGCATAAAATCAACTATTCAATTTGAAGCCATGCCAAAGGTCAATGCAAAGTACTAGATAAACACTAGACTACTAGATGTTTACAATCTAATCACTACTTTCTCTGCTCTTCTGATTTTATTAAACCCTAAAACCCTAAACTTTAAACTAAAAAAAACCAAAAAAAAAACATAAATTCGAAGATAAACCATACTTGTTATCAATTCTAAACATTAAACCCTAAAACCCTAAACTTTAAACTAAAAAAAACCAAAAAAAAAACATAAATTCGAAAGAAATTCGAAAATAAACCAAAAAAGAAAAACATAAATTCGAAAACATTGAAGTAAAAAAAAGAAATTCAACATGCAAACATCAAATAATCATTATAAGCAATTGAAACATGAATAAACATATAAATTCTAACACTTAATTCATTATTTCTAATACAAAATACCCAAACATAATTAGATAATTTAGATTAACATTAAAAAAAAAAATAACTTACCGGAGAAATGGAAAATCGCGCAGTAGCTGTCTCATGCGGTGGTCGGTGGGCGCCTGGGCTTCGCCTGAGAGAGTGAGGAAGGCAGGAGGTGTCGTCGGTGGGCGTTGCCGCGTTGGGCTGAGACTGGAGACAGTGAGCTTGAGGGAGAGGGGGAGACAACCTGTTTGTTAGGGTTAGAATGAAATGAAAGAGAACTGAAGCGTCACTCAAGCAGCAGCGTTATTTTGATTTTTGAATTTTTTTTTTTTTTTTTTTTTTTTTTAAAATACAATTTTTCCGGGTTTCAGGTCCGGACCTGAAAACCCCGGGTTTAGACCGGGTCCAGACCGGAACCGGGAACCTTTATTTTTAAGGACCGGGACCGGACCTGAATCAACAGGTCCGGGTCAGGTCCGGTCTGGATCAGGTCGGTTCAGGTCCGGTTTCAGGTCCGGTCCAGTTTTTGTACACCCCTAGTCTCGGCTTTCGATAAATTTGCTCCTCCTTCGTCACGCTGTAAATTTTGGCGCGTGGAAGAGAGAGCGGAGTGTAGGACTCGTATCTGCCTGTGTATGAGGCAGATTTTTCCTTCTTTGGCTCGCTGGCCGAAGATTGTTCCGAGGCCTTGGCCTTTCCATTTGTCCTCTGGCTTTGGCCTTCAGACAAGGGTGTTTGTTTTTGCTTCCCTCCCCCAGATTGAGGTCGGGTTTTTGTTTTGTTCCACTCTTCGGCTCGGATGAATTTATCCGAGGCGTTCAGAGCTTCCTCCAAGGTGTGCGGGGTATGCATGACCATGAAGTCTAGGAACTTCCCGGGCTGAAGGCCAAAAACGGCTAGCCCCTGGTCCAGCTGAGAGACTCTGGATGACTCGTTGCTGAAACGGGTCAGATAGTCTCGGAGGCTTTCGGTCTCCCCCTGTTGCAGACCCATGAGTTCTGCAGTAGTCTTCTCTCGGCGGTTTGCCGTGGAAAACTTGCTCCTAAATTTGGAGGACAAATCATCCCACCCTGTTATAGAGCCTTGCTTCACTCCCTTAGAGATCCATGCTTGCGCGACCCCCTTGAGAGTGGTTGGAAAATATTTGCACCAAGTCGCTTCGGATCTGGGGCAAAGATGCATATGAGCCTCATACGAGGCGACGTGGTCCTTCGGATCCGAAGTCCCATCATATGTGATGTGCGACGGTATTTTAACCGTGGGCACGTGCTCTTCCAGTATCCATTGCTCGAATGGGGAACTGGTGGGTAGCATAACGACCTTGCCCTTGTTCCTGGCCGAAGGGACCGCGCTCCGCCCTCTTAGAGAGGTAGGAGTGGTTTTCGTCCCTGGCTGGGAAGTCTGGGCCTCGGCTGCAGGGAATGAGAAGCGACTGTGCACGCTCGGTTCCTTACCGCCGAGTCGGTCGAGGACGCTTCGGCGAACAGTCTCAGGTTGTTCTCGGTGAGCAGATTCTGGCCGAGAGGCTGAGCTGCTGCTCTTATGCTTTCGGTCGGGAGGTTGAGGATCCTCTGAAAAATTGAGGGTTCTTTTTCCTCTCTCTTTCAGTTTTCCAGGTATCCTCTTCCCACTTTTCCAGTTCCCGGAAGGAAGGAGGTTTCCCACCATCATGGTCTAGCTTCCTCCGCTGATGCCGGGTATGCGGAGGAGTTCGATCGCGAGGTGGAGGAATATTTTGTGCCCTCATTGCCTCCATGAGCACTGCCAGCGCTCTCGCCACCTCCTCCGAGCTGGGCCCCGTCAAAGGGGTCCTCTGCTGAGTGTGGGAATGAGAGCGGACGGTCGATGGTTGGCTTTGGGGCACTGAACGGGTCCTATGATCGGACTGACCTCTGCTAGACCGAGAGGGACTCGGCCTATGATGAGAGTTGTGAATTACGGGAGAAAGGGAATCCTCCCTGTATGATCCTCCCCCCGAGCTGGCACCCTTGGGAGAGTTCCGGTCCGGTGAGGGTGATGGTGTAGGGGTTTTAGGCTTTTCGCCTGCTCCTTGACAGAGGCTTTTGCTCTTGCGGTTCTTAGCCATTGCTACTAAGATAATTGCAAGATGATTTTGGTTAGATATTTGGCTTAAAGATTTTTGAAAGTCTTCCCCACAGACGGCGCCAAATTGTTTCAGGTGAAAACAATGGGACCTTGTCGAAGGTCCGATGAAGTGGTGAAGACTGGATTCGGTCCAAGTGATGTTGGGCCGAAGGTTTCCTGCACAACAAACGCACGTAAACTAGCCTCGGGGGTGTTGCCGAGGGAGGCCCCTCCGATGCTAAAGTCAGTACAGTGTGTAGAGAGAGAATGCTATGCAAGAGAATTAATTGCTTGAGGCTTTTTTTTGAATCATTTAATGACTAGGCCTAATTGGACTAAATTGGACCCAAACAGGTAGTAAGGTTGAAAAAGATGTTAAGAACGAGTTACAAACAAACACATAAACGATCAAAATGTAGGGAAGCTAGATAAATTGGTCATCATGAGGCCGACATGCATATAAAAGAGCCAACTACCAAATATTATTTGAACTTTGTTTTTTTAAGTCTAAAGATAAAGATAATTAAATAACACATGCTATATAAAGTAAAAATAACAAATGCATGATAATGTATATATTCATGCATCTCCCCTTGTTTCTCTACATTTAGTAACTTAATTCATTATTTGATTGTCATTGTATTCTTTTTCTTCATCATCTTTGTAAATTATTGTAGGTATGGAGCTACATGTTTGATCTATCTCTATTCTAAAGCTTATTTTTAGTCAAATTGCTGACATGGTTGACTATAACTAGCTCAATAATTCATTTAAGGTTTGAAATTTAGTGTGAAAGGCTCCCTTACCCTTAGATTGCCCACAAATTGATTGGATAATATATAACATTTTTTATTAAATTAATTACTCATGTTTTTATTTAAAACAAATTTTAACAAGGCTATTAAGATTTCAACATTGAAATTGATTGAATGTGTACGTGTTTCAAAATAATTTTGATCGGATAATATGAATTATCATGAAAACACCTTACGTATGTGCAAAGTGAAGCAAGTTTAGTAAAGAGATAAATTACTATGGGAAAGGATAAAGCACCACTAGGCTTCCATACTTCTACTCTAAGTTCTATCATAAATGGAGGGTGTTGATGAGTTGATTTCAATGGATTACCAAATTAGCAAATAGGTCAACTTACTAGCAATTCTTCTAATAACTTCTAATAACATGTTCACAATTACAATAACTACTAGCTCGCTCTTTCTTAAAATGGTATTGCATAAAGAAATTACTCATGTCGTAAACTTTTAATTTGAACACAATACAAACTCTTAATTACGAAGAAATTACCCAATAGAGCAATGATCCTAGTGGCTAATAACATATGCAACGTGGAGCATAACTATAAAATGTTAATGATTTGTAGAGGATTACGTAGAACTAATTAGTGGTGGAAGACTCTCCCTTGTTGCTTTATAATTTCTGTCCTTAAAGGGCGCAATGGTCACACTTGATAGAGAATACTCCTAGATAGTTAGTTGTAGTAGAGTATAACTTTAAGAAACTGGTACAAACAATAATCTTAATAAGGCAAATATAAAGCAAAACACTCCATGTGAAAGATGCCCTTGTTTCGTGATTGAGATTCAAAGTAGTCCTTTAAAGCTGTTACTAATACAGGTGTGTTCTTTCTGTTTAACCGTTACTTTTTCCTTACTAGAGACCCCTAACAGTTTTTTTTTTTTAAATAAAATTTGTAGATTTTTTTTTTTTTTTTTCCTTTTCTATTAAAATTTTCTAGACTCTATTTAAATTTTAAATATGAGTGTGGACCAACTCGAAATCTCGAATGCTCGATCTTTATATATTGGCATTTGACAACCATTACCGTGTTATCTGTGTTATGTTTTATTTTTAACCTTATCAATCTTTATAGATGTCAACTAAAAAAAAAAACTACTCCATATAATAGGGTCTGTTTTGATTTACTGAACTAAATCGAATATTTTATGAGAGAAGAAAATTAGGAATTGAACTGATTGGAGCTGAATTGAACTAAGCTGAAAATAAGCTAGAGAGAATAGACCCTTAGTGGGTTAAACTTGTAACAAATGGTATTTAAAATTGGCAAAAGCTAAAGAACGCTCCGGGGGCGTTGGATAAGCTAGCTAAAAGTAGAAAGATTAAATTAAAATGAACATTAATTACAACGATCGACGCGTGATTTTGTCATGCTTTCCCAAATTAATATCATTTTAGGCAATATTTTAAATGTTTATCCAATGCTCTGAGGGCGTTCGTTAGCAAGATCCTTTAAAATTTAAGATTGAAAATCAATTTCAAGATTTTTTGTATGTAGTAATTACTTTGTGCTTCAATTAGTTTATTTTACTAGCTTGTAGTTTGTTTTATTCAGCTACATTTTGTAGGTAAATTAGCCCTAGAATATATCATGTTACATAATAACATAAAGTTGCTTATTAATTTCAATTTCAGTAACTTTACCCTTCTTCAACTAACTTATAATATTTGGCAGGGACACCAAAGTTTCTGAAACCAACTAACTTTCCATCTTTAAACCTACTTTTAATCTTTATCTATTTTTTTTTTCAACCATCTTTTTCTAATCACTTATATTGTATTGTCTAAAATTACTTAATTCCATTATAATACAACTATGGACTAACATATATACAAATGTGTGTAGGATTAAACTTGTGGAGCTTTTTTTGCCTGAAATAAGTCAAAATGAATGAACAAAATGGGCCCTAAACTAGTCTTTTAACTTTCAACGATTTTTGTAAACTGTTTTACTAAACAAGTCATCAATTCAACATCAATATGATTATTTTTAACATGTTCATTTTGAGGTTTTTTTTTAAATTTTTTTTGAAATAACTCAGATCCGGCACATAATATTTTTAGCTGAGCAGAATTATTTTCTAAAAATTCCCAAAAAAAAAAAAAAAGAAGAAGCCTTTAGATCCATTTTATTAAGTGCTAGGATAGTACATGTTACTTTTTTTAATAGTACACCATTTTGCGTGAATTGGAACTTCCTATGCTCTCTACAACCAAACAATTTTTATTCTTCCAATTCATTTCTCCTTGTGTTTCTTTATAACACATATATAGAAGATGTAAAGTGTTTTTTTTTTTTTTTTTAATACCTATAAATTTCAAGAGTTAAATGTTAGGATTTAGGAGTTGAAGAATTAACATTTTCATTTACTTAGAAAACCTTAATTTAGGAAAAGTGCAAGATGGGCTTTATCTTTATTAACTAGTATTTAGTGTCTTGTTTGGACTAAAACTGCCACAAGATATCTGGGCTTAGCATAATGGGCCCAAATCTTAATTTCGGTTTAAAAATGATTTTGGGCTTTATATTCTAAAAGAAGCAGTGAGTTCTCTAACTAAGACTCTAGGTATCTAGCTCGGTAGTAGCTCCATACTTTTCATCGAGGTGATTCAATATTTCCAATAGTGGTAGGCATTTAACACTAACCACTACAATTGCACATCATTGAACCATCAACTATTAGTTATTTTTACCATAATATATAGACAAACTATAATAATACTTCTTATTAAAAATAAGTTGTTCAATCAAAGATACAAAACTATGTACTTAAAAAGGTAAAAGTAACCAAATAATATAATTCAAAATTCATAGTTTAATTTTACCTTGAGTGAAATTTACTTATGACTGCTAAATAGTAACCGTGTTAAAATAATAAAATACATAGATTAATACGGAGTAGTAATTTACAAAGCGTAGTGAGTAGTGACTACT